GTTTAGGGAATATAGTCAATAATATTGTAATATGATTGTATGATGCCAGGTTTGTACTAGATTTATCTGGGGGATTACTTTGTAAATTATATAAATGTGTAACCACTATGCTGTACACCTGAAATAATATTGAATGCCAACTGTAATTGAAAATTTAAGAAAAATAAAAGAAAGAAAAATTGCCCCAACTCTGATCCGGGCAGAATTTTTCCTTTTTAAATGATTTAATTCACAACTTCCTTCTGAAAATAAATTATGATTTCTGGTTAAAATGCTTAGAAAAATTTCTGATAAACTTGAAAGGATTAAGATTCACCCAACAGACATCAGTCAAGAGTCTTAGTGACCTTTTAATCAAACATTCTTTTTTAAAAAATCTAGTCTAATCACTATTATTTAACCATTTACCAAGAGTGAATTTTTAAAGTGAGACTACCAGAGGGCTTCCCTCACAGCAGGTTTGTAATAAAACTTTGACAATGAAATAGTCCTAACTGAATTGTCTGAAGTGTTTGCTTTACTGGGGCCAACTATATGCCACCTCTGTTCCCTCAAAGAATGTTGACTTGCATGTGAAAGGTGGGAGCAACAAAATTCAAAGTAATACACAGCGCTGACTTAGCAGTTGTTGGACATTCCTCAAACACATTGAGCAAGTCCTCTTCAAGATGAGGCTATTCAGAGTGCTGTTTATGGGAATGACTAAGCTTCAATACCTCATATAACTAAAATGAAAGGCTGAGAGACTTTGATTTTATTCTGCTGTTGGACTTTGATTTATTCAGGGACTGAAGAAGATATTTGGTTATACTGTAACCAGAAGCAAGGGGTCAAAGACATAGAAAGTAATAAATATTCTGAAGAAGGGCCAATGACATAGGAAGTCTCAAATGCTATATAGATAAGATGAATGGGATGAAGGTGGTGGCTGCAGAATGACTTTTCATGGAGATTCTGCCCAAACTTCCAATACTTTGCAAATGTTCCCAAAATGCTCCCAGCAAAATATGCGTCTGTTGAAAAAGCATTGTGTAAAGATGGCTTCTCATTGGATGCCCATCCTTCCTCTCAACCACCCTATTGCAGACAGAGGCATCAGGTCAGTGTTTACGCACCAATAATTTAGGACTTAATTTCAGGATTTAATATAAAAATTGATGCTTAGAAAAAAATATGCAATTCTATTGATACCATATTATCTAACATTTAGGTTTTGTTTCGTGTTGTTTTGCCATCTTTTGTGTGTATGTGTGTTTTAAATATATTTTTATTGATTTCAGAGAGGAAGGAAGAGGGAGAGAGAGACAGAAACATCCATGGTGAGAGAGAATCATGGATCTGCTGCCTCCTGCAAGTCCCCCACTGGGGATTGAGCCCACAACCCGGGCATGTGCCCTTGACCAGAATCGAACCTGGGACCTTTCAGTTTGCAGGCGGACGCTCTATCCACTGAGCCAAACCGGCCAGGGCTGTTTTGCCATCTTAAACAAAGTGCAGTGACTATCCTTGCACATCTATCTCTGCTCCTGTGTGTTCTTTCCTTACATTACCACTTTTAGATTTAATTTATTTTCCATGAAGTTTTCTCTACTGAGAAGAGAATGTGCCACAGGGACTTGACAGAATTATTGTTCAAATTGAATCATTACATTGATTTCTGAGTGTAAGTGATGTTTGTGAAAATGAAGATAAGAACAACCAGCTAGCCCAGGGTATGTCCACCCCTCCTGGTGTCAGCTGATGCTGAGGGCTCACCCCAGGGAGCAGACCAGGCTGGCTTGGAATACAGAGCAGTTTCTATCACCTTGAAGCCTACAGGGCTCTCAGCTCTTGTCCATAGTTCTCCCTGTTGTCTGGGTTTACCCTCTGATAGGTTACTTGTCCATTATATCCTGTGGTCCTTCTTCTCTTTTTCCTTTTTTTCTGCTTGGAACGTGGACATAATGGCTGGAGCTGCATCAGCCATACTGAGACTATGAGGGAATCTCAGAAATCTCAGCCCTGATTTCCTTGAGCTTTTGACATTCGTAACTGGCTACTTCAGAAATTCTTATATGAGAAAATAAACCTGTATGTGTTTAAACCATTCAAATTGGGTGTTTGTTACCCAGAGCCATACGCAATATTTTTAAAAATATATTTTTACTAGAGGCCCAGTGCATGAGATTTGTGCACTCAGAGGAGGGTCCCTCAGCCCGGCCTGCGCCCTCTCACAGTCTGGGAGCCTTAGGGGGATGTCCGACTGACAGCTTAGGCCCACTCCCCGCAGTCAGACATCAGCGCTGCTGCTGGCGAGGAGGTGAGAGAGGCTCCCACCACGGCTGCAAGCCCTGCTCAGGGCTCCTCCTCTGGGAGCGCACTGACCACCAGTTGTTCCACTGTTCGGTTGATTTGCATATTAGCCTTTTATTATGTAGGAGTAATTTCAGAGAGGAAGGGAGAGGGAGAGAGAGATAGAAACATCAACGATGAGAGAAAATCATTGATCAGCTGCCTCCTTCACAACCCCTACTGGGGATCGAGCCCACAACTCGGGCATGTGCCCTGATGGGGAATCAAACCGTGACCTCCTGGTTCATAGGTTGACACTCAACCACCGAGCCAAGCTATATTTATCTGATGTGAAAGGGTTCCCTGACAAGATGACATATAAGCTGAAACTGGAAGAATTATGAAGTGGCAGATATTAGACTAACAGGGAAAAACCAAAAGCCCTTTCCACTCCACTCCACTGCTCATTGCCCACCACATTTCAGGCAGTGGGACAAGGGACTGGAGATGTTAGGGAAGGAGATTCTAAGGTAGAACTGATTTGTCCAGAGTGATATTTGAAACTATGAGGAAGGGAGAGCTTGGTGATATGCTCTCATCTCTGTGCGTATGTTTCCTTCGTGGCACCTGTCAGCAACAGTCACCATTACGAGATCTTCATGAGGCCAGGGGCAGTGTCTGTGATTTTCATCGCTAGCAGAATGCCTGGCACAGAATCATAGTTACTGGATAAGCGATAGCAGAGAGAACTAGGGTAAGAGGAGGGATAAAAAAGAAACAGGTAGAAGAGTGGGAAACCTGGAGTGGGGCAGGGTCCCCATGATTCTCCTCCAAGGCAGACAGGGAGAATCCTGGTCAAGGGGTCACTTGGGGACCCACACTGGAGTGACTGTCCAGCTCTCAGCCTTGCTCTCCTGGCTTCCTGATGGGCATGAGATTTGAGCTGGTCATCCATGGCACCTTGCCCTTGGCTGAAACAACTGATCCAAAACATGGGTACATGACCCAGGTCAGGACAACTAGAACTAGAGCCCTTTGCCAGGAATTGCCAAACTGGAGTTGAGAAAAGGGACCGCTTGTCCTCCAGCTGTAATAGTGACTTCCTACAGCCTGGTCCAGGGTCCTGGAGATGGTAGGCTCTGGGAATGAGCCTGATGTCCAGTTAGAAGCAGGGAGAGAGCTAGAGAGAGAAGAGCTGGGGATCTTCAGGCTTCTGGCTCCAGCTCTCCCTAAGGTCAGCTCCACCCTGCTCTTCCCAGTTATATGAGCCAATGGTTACCTTTTGAATTGCTTTGTTGCAGTTAGTGTTGAGTTCCTCTCTCTTGAAATCTACCCATTGCCTTTCTCTTCAAAATGCACCCTGAATCCGACCACTTCTCACCATTTTCACAGCCACACCCTGGTCCAAACCACCACTGTCTCTTGCCTGGCTGAATGCAACAGCCTCCCAATAGGTCTCCCTACTCCTCTCCACCCAGCAGGCCAGTGATTTTACATAAATGTCAATCAGATCATGTCACCTCCCTGCCTAAACCCTCCGGTGGCTTCTCATTACATGCAAACGCCTTACCCTGTTTTACGAGGCCCTACAAAGGTCTGCCTCTGTCTACCCTCCAGCTTTATTCTATGCCACTTCCCCTCATCACCCTGCTTCAGCCCAGTGCCCTCAGTGCCCTCCTTTTCATTTCTCAAACTCATTGCGCCCAGTATCTCTTCAGTGCCTTTGCACCTGCTGTCCCAGGTCCTTGACCTTCAGTTTTTAGTATAGGAATACAGCAATCATAGCTCTCCTACCTCATCTCTTTCTATATCATTTTGTTGTTTAAATTATTCACAGAAACTTTCTCTAGCTGAAATTATTTTATTTATGTTTTTGCTAACTTTTGTTGTTGTTTGTCTATCCCTCCCAGAGTGTGAGCTACAGGAGAATGGGGTCCTTGCCTGTCTTGTTTACCATGTCATCTGTGTAATAGGAACTCAAATAATATTTATTGAATGAATGAGTTACAAAATAATGAGTTGCTGAAGTTCCAGGCAGGCCCCTATGTTCCCTGTTGGGTCTCCTTTCCTCTGCACCATGCTGTTGTCCACACTGTTAACCTGTGCTTAACTCCTAGAGCAGCGGTTCTCAACCTGTGGGTCGCGACCCCTTTGGCGGTCGAACGACCCTTTCACAGGGGTCGCCTAAGACCATCCTGCATATCAGATATTTACATTACGATTCATAACAGTAGCAACATTACAGTTATGAAGTAGCAACGAAAATAATTTTATGGTTGGGTCACAACATGAGGAACTGTATTTAAAGGGCCAGAAGGTTGAGAACCACTGGTCTAGAGGAACTTGTTCCTGTCACTTGACCTCACTCAACTTCTACTGCCTCGTTTGTGAAATGGGAACCCTGCTCCTTGCCAAGCCAACTCCAAGGACTGTTGAAGATGCAAGGAGCCAGTGGGTGGAAAAGCCCAGAGCCCACCGATGATCAGAATGGAATGGGTCTGGCCTGGTGCGAGGAGCATCTTACTCCTGCTTCCCTACCAAGCTCTCCTCACTCTGTGCTGTTTGACCTGACCTGCTTCCTGTGCCACTCACACAGCCTCACTCACTTGCCTTGCCTTCCCCACCCCTTGCTCTCCAAAGGTCTTCTTTTATGGCTCCTTGTGAGGAATTCCTATACGGCCCTGGCCTTCACTGTGAGAAAGAACAGGCTATCAAAGGCCGGGCTTGGCTCCCTGCTCTGTGGTTAAATATTGATGACACCAGGAGGCAGAGGCCCGGAGAGAGCACACCACGTATCCCCCTGCGGTGCTGGCACCCCCGACCGGGGTCCTCTAAGCCCATTTCTCGGGGCTGGGAAGAGGGTCTGGATGTTTTCTCTTTACTTGAGGCCACCATATAAGAAAGTGAGCACTGGGCTCCTGGTTCTTTAAGCAATTAAAACCGGGTGGAGCCTGTTTGCCACCCGAGGCCACTCATTCAAGAGGTCAGTCACCCCAGAGTAGCAGAGAAGACTCCAGGCCTGGGCGTGTGCTAAGAGCAGAGCTACCAGATGGGATGGGCTGCCACAGACTAATCCCAGGTGACAGCTGAGTGGAGAGCTCAAGTGCAAAGACCATCCTGTGCTTCGGTGAGAGGAGGAGGAAGAAGACACAGCAATCAGTGCTGCTCCCCAAAGCAGATCAAGGCCGGCCCCAGGAGCCTAGGACCCAGGGTGAGTGTCTCTAACCTCCCATGGGAATGAGTGACCAGGGTCTTCCGTAGGAGTCCCAGGCCAGTGGCAGATGGTTAAGCTCTGTTTAAAATGCAGGAATCTCCCAGAGGGGCCCAAGGAGACAGGACAACTGAACACAATGTGATATCCTGGGTGGGATCTGGGAACAGGAAAAGACATTCATAGAAAATAAAATCCAAATAACTCATGAAATGTAGTTAATTTTTTAAAAGCAGGGATATTAACAGGATGCTCACTCTAGAAGGAAACTGGTGAAGTGTTCTGAGGGGAAATGTGTCTTTGTTTCTGGGGCATCTAATACAATCCGGAGGGCTGACTCTCAGCTCTGGCCTTGAGTCCGACTTGTCATTTTGTTTGTTGGTATATGTTCATTATAACAATATTATCATATTTAAAACACACATTCCCCTATGGAATCAGCCAAGTTTGTACACTTATCAGATTGGCTCCGACACCACACTGTCTTGATTACTGCAGTTTTACAGGAAGTCTTAAAGTCTGATAGCGTCAGTCCTCTAACTTTGTTCTTCAATATTGTGTTGACTATTCTGAGTCTTTTACCACACACCATGTAAACTTCAGAAACATTTTGTCGATACACATAAAATAACTTGCTGGGATTTTTATTGGAATTGCATCGAATCCATAGGTCAAGTTGGGAAGAACTGACATCTTAATTAGTTTTATTAATTAAACACACAAATTTGGAATTGTCTCAAAAGCTATAAATACTATACATACATTTTAAAATACATTCAAATATAGAAAAATATATTTAAAATGTACATTAAAATATATACATTTAAAATATATAATAATTCTATGTGTTGTTTTCATGAAAGCAGTGTGTACTCATGAGAAATGTATACAATACAGAAGTATTCAAAGTGTTCGCATGCGTCTAGGCCCCATCCCACCTTCCGAGAGGGAGTCAGTGTTTGGTTTCTCGACCTTCACACTCTTCTCTGTGGGTGTGGGGAGGTCCACATAGGCAGCAGGGGCCTATGGGCGATGTTACTAATTAATCCAGGCACTCCTGCATCTGAGATTGGACAGAAAGTCACAACCCTTCTTAGCAAGTGCTCTGGACAGACAGTTGGAACTGGAAACAGATCACATTGATTAGCCATCCCTATAACTTTGTCTTCTCATTATTCAGTATATATACACATACCCCTCAACGGATAGTGGATAGCATGCCTGGAGTCCTCGGAAGTCTAAACAGGTCCTTCTTTCCCCCTGAATTCCATCTCCGCCTTGATACGTGAATGGTCATTCACATGTGAAAACATTTCCCCTCAAAACCTGTAGATGTTTCTTGTTTTCTCAGAGCTTTGCCGTGGTTCTCAACCTTGGCTGCACATTAGAATCACCTGGGAATCTTTTTAAAATCTTGATTTCTGGGCCCCATCCCATAACAAAGAAACAGAATTTCCAGAGGATGAGGCCCAGAAATCAGGATTTTAAAAAGATTCCCAGGTGATTCTAATGTGCAGCCAAGGTTGAGAACCACTGCTTTAGAGTCTGATGTCAATTAAGTCCTTATTTTAGCACTGTGTTTGTCTGCTTGCCATCCAGTTGTTTTTTAATGTTTCTGGCTGGGCCTCCAAAGGCTACTTCGGAAGGCGGTGTGAGTAGGGGGACTGGAGATAGCCTGGGGCCTCTGTTGTTGTTGTTGTTGTTAGCCACAATGACATGTTTCTATGATTGGTTTCTTCAAAACCCTTCTCTTCTTTTATTTTTTTTTAGTTCCTTTAATCTCCCTTCTTGTTCTCTTTTTCCTTTTCCCCCAGAGAGAACTATTCTAATGTGTTTAATGTGTCTTTTTTTAAGTGGGGTTTTTTAATGTGTTGTTTTGTGCGCATATATTTTGTATTTTCATAAACAGTATGGCATGTCCTCTATGATCCTTAGGGATACTTTTTAAAAAATATTTTTTTATTAATTTCAGAGAGGGAGAGGGAGGGATAGAAACATCAGTGATGAGAGAGAATCTCTTGCATACCCCCCACTGGGGATCGAGCCTGCAACCCAGGCATGTGTCCTGACTGGGAACAGAACTGTGACATCCTGGTTCATAGGTCAATGCTCAACCACTGAGCCACGCTGGCCGGGTATTAGGGATAAATTTTCTCATATATGACACACTCAGTAGCAGAGTGGCTGTGTACACTTACTGTGACTAATTTGCCCTCTAGATGGCTGCCTCATCCTACACTCCTTGTCAGTGCATGAGGCCATGGCCTAGAACCTCAAACACATGACATCATTCACCTTTCCAACTATGATGATCTAATGTATGTCAACTGGTATTTAATTTTTAACTTTCATCCTTCTGATTACCATAGAGTTTGAGCACTTTTTCATATGCTTGCTAGCCTTTTGGGTTTCCTACCTTGTAAATTGCGGTTTAGATCCTTTACCCATTTATTAGGGTTCCTGTCTTTTTCTTATTAATTTGCAAGAATTCTTTGTGTATCCTAAATATCAGTCTCTTCCTGGTTTTAAGCATTGCAAGTATCTTGCCCCAATCAGAAAAGTGTTAGTTACTTTATTGATGGTATTCTTCAGTGAACAGATAATCTTATTTTTTGATATAATCGAATTCATCAGTTTTTTGTTATTGAATGATTTGAGCTTTTATGGTTTTGTTTAAAAAGTTTCACCCCACTTCTATTAACGTTACATTTTCCCCTCTTACATGTGGGGTCTGTTCTGTATGTACTGTTTGTTGGGTGCACATCCAGTCTTCCTTTTTCCCACACAGAGAGCCGGTTCCCGACACCTGCTAAACGACTCCTCCTTTCCCTGCTGATTAGTAGAGCCGCCTTTATTATACGTCAAGTTCCCATGTGCACATAGGTCTCTACGAAATTCCTGTTCTGATCCCTTGATATAGTGATGTGGCCTTATGTCAACATCCAAAGTTGGAATTGTTTATTATTTTTTATTACTAGATTTCAGTATCTGACTTAGTAAACACAGATTGCTTAACTTGCTTTGTTTTGCGGGGATAGAAACAGGCTGAAATTAATGAAAGGATGTAGCCAGGGAGCATGGATTCAGTTCCTTGCACTGCAAACGACAGAAAACAATTCTTATAACATGCCTCCCCACCCCCCAAAAAAGAAGTTATCAGGGGGCTGCTGAACTGAGAGCAGCACTGGCCAGTCAGGCCTGGGGGTGGCCGCGAGGAAAGTGAGCTGCCAGCTCTCGGCAGCAATAGCCGACAGCTCCCCTTTTCTGGTACTTTCTCAGCTCTGGGTAGCAGGCATGCCAATCCCCAGATAAGAGACTGTGATGGGCCCAACCTTTGTTATGTGGGTCCCGTGACTGGCTACCACATGAAAACCAAAGGCAAGGGATGGGACAGTTTGCTAAGGAACCAGGGTGAAGGGAGCCGTGGCTGCAGGAGCTGGATGGGGATGCTGAGCAGGCAAAAGCGGACCATGTCCCCTGCGAGGGCCCCACAGCCCAGCAGTGGCTTAGCCCTTCCCGCTCCAGGTCGGTGCTCTTCCCCACGCGTGATGGGTTTTAATAAAGACTCGAGTGACTCCCAAGTCTGTGGTCTCTGCCTCTCCAGGCCCCCACTGCTCTGGGCCAGCCTGTTCTGGTCCTGTAACTTCGGGCGAGAGGAGAGTTGGGTTTGGGCAGGGAGGGGAGCTCCGGCTGGGGTGGGCTATGGGTCATGCTTTCTGCTTTGTTTCCAGGGCTCTGCAGGGCTTTGCGCAGGGGCCAGCACCTAGGAGGCCAAGAGGGCAGCTGAGGGGCCGAAGGGGCCTAAGGACTTCGTCATCAGAAATGTACCCCAGCCAGGAGCAGGGCATGCCCCATGGTGAGGGCGTTACCGGAGCCCCAGCTGGCACTGTGGTGCCTCAGGAGCTGCTGGAAGAAATGCTTTGGTTTTTTCGGGTAGAAGATGGTAAGTGGCGGGGGACTGGGGAGTGGGGTGTGTGCTCTCAACACAAAACACAAACTGGACTCTGGCTGAAGCCCTGGACACGGTCCCTTCCTCCATAGCAGCTGCACATTTGCTTCAAAGCAGCTGAGGGGTCCCGGTACCCAGAAGGATGTAGTTGAACCTCACGGTCCTTTTCCCGGGGCTTGGTCATTCATTTACCCACCCATTCAGTCATTCACAAATATTTAAGTTCCTTCTGTGCGCCAGGCACTGTTTTCAACACTGAATAACACCAAAACTCTCGTCTTCATGAAGCATATGTTTTCGTGAAAGGGAGAGAAAATAAACAGGATAAACATCAAAATGCCTAGTGCATTGGTGATGAGTTGGGTAGTGGCATTTTGTTAAATGCTCTGAATAATTCCAGGAGTAAGAGAAAAAATAAGGGGGAAAATGAAGCAGAGAAAGGGAGTCGGAAGTAGGTAGCAAGGGTAGGTAATGTGGTCACTCAGAAGGTGACATTTGAAGAAAGGCCTGTAGGAGGTGAAGGACTTAGTTATGTGGGGGAAGGCCATTCCTGGTGGAGGGAACAGCCGATGCCAAAGCTCTGAGGCTGGGTCCTGCCTCCGTTCAGTACAGTGTGGCTGAATCTCGGTTATCTAGATTCAGAGTAGCCACTTTATGTATTATCTGTGGCAGTCTTGAATCTATTTTCACTGCCACCCTTCTTTCTTCTTCCCTCTTCCCCCTCATCCT